ATATAATATGTATATATACACACATATAGAGCCCTACTTCAAGCACACGGACTTCCCACGCCTTCAGCACATGCTATATATATATATGTGTGTGTGTGTGTGTGTATGGTAATATATTGGTGGTGTGTGGCTGCTAAAAGCGTTTATAAAGAATTTGAGCACTGTGAAGTCTTGGTCTGGTTGTTAGAAAATGCTTCCTGGCTCTAAGAACTTGGGGAAGTCTAATTGGAGACCCAGGGGACTCCGGGAGATCAAGCGAAGGCTGGTGACACACACAGCCGAGTGTTGACGGATGGAAGACCAGCACGGCGAAAGCCGCCAATCAACTTGACACCCAGGGGCTGACCCAAGGGGATCATCTTCCTGTTAAGCAAAACAAGCAGCAAATCAAACCCGCGTAGAGAGAAAAAAATCAAAAACAAAACAAAAAAAAAAACAGCGCTTTCCTGCATTCAGAAGGAGGACATTATTTTGTTTCGCAGCGAATTTTTGTATTCACCAAAAAAACTTGAAATAAGATCGACTTACAAAAGGACTGTTAGAATGTTATCGTGAGCTGCTGGCGCCCATGCCGTGTGCCAAGCCCGTGGGTCCTCCCGCAGGCACACATCGGAGACACTTTGTGCTCGGTTCCAGCCCGGGGGGTCCATGGGAAGAAAGCAGATACTGCAAGGGAGCAGGTCAGAGGAACGCTGTGGTTTCCTGGTGCGTAGAAAGTTGTTACGCCGTGCTGTCGTCCACCAGGTGTGCAATCGCATTATGTCGGAAGAAACCATGTTCATAGCTTGGTTAAAAAAGGCTTTAGTACTAAAAATGCTTACCCATCACCTGAGCTTTGAGTGAGCCCCAATCGCTGATCACAGATCACTGTAACAGATACCATAATAATGGAAAAGTCTGAAATATTGTGAGATTTATCAAAATGCGACAAAGGGGACAAATGCTGATTTGTACAACTCGTGTTGCCACACACCTCCACTTTGTGAAAAAGGGCAGCGTCTACAAGTATCTGCAAGTGTGGTGAAGCGAGACGCGACAGAGTGAGAGAGGTGTGCCTATCCCGGCTGTATCTGTCCTGTAAAAACGGTTGTTAGGACCCCAGCACGGGTTCCCTCTGAAGACAGATTGTTGTTATCAATCCGTTCAGCTCTCTGCGTGGGCCTGCGACCGGTTTTCATGGCTAAGACCACAGGCCAGTGAGGGCAAGAAGGTGCTTGTCTTCATTTCTTCTTCAGATGCAGATCGTGCATAGACGTGGGCTCCTTCAGTTTGGGGGCGATGGAGAAACACATTATGTTGGTCGATGCCAAAGAAGAAAGTAGGCTCTAGGCGGTCAACCAGAACCTGGCGTACTTCTCCAGCAGAACCCAATAAATGAGTGTGCGCTCGGGGCGCACAGGCTTGTGGGTACGTCACTGGCAACATCTTGAAAATGGCAGGTCACGGTCTGTCACAGACCTGGGAAACCTGGTCCTTGGGACGGCGAGTGGTCCGCCAGTGGGGAGACCCCAGGGTGGTTCATGGAAGCTGCTCTTTGCCCCCGCAATCCCCCACCCACCTGCCTTCAGATCTTCAGACCACAGTCAGAAGCGTGTGGAGGCAGGAGAAAGCCTGGATTCAGACTCTAGCCTGGGAGGCTGGGATTACCCAGACCAGGCTGACTCTGCATCCTGTCCTTCCACACCTGAGCCTCAGGGGGTCGGAGACTGAATGCTATCTCCTACTTGACACATCCCCACCCCGTGCTCAGACCCCAGAACTCATCACAGCACAAGGATCTCCTGCAAAGGACCTGTGCTTTGAGGCCAGGGCTACAAGAAGAGGGGCTCTCCTACTGCCCTGTGCAGGGCCCCACATTGGACTAATATGTCCAGGGAAAGCCTCTGAGGACGGTGGCCCCTTCTCGGCCCTTTGAACAGATTGTCAGTGCCCAGCCCGGAAAACTGATGTCGAAGATCCGTGGAAAGACAAGACTCAAACTCGAAAGGACAGCAGACGAGGGATTATAACATTACGTACACCAGGGTGAAATAAGGGAAAATCGATGAAATTCCTGCCTTGAATTACACTGGGGACTTCCTTGCTGCCCTGTCCTGTTCCTGTCTCGAGACCGAAGCAGGAATGGAAAGCAAAGCCCTCTCCCTGGATCTCCCTCCAGAGGCTCAAGCCAAGCCCCCATCCGGGGAGGCCCTGACGTTTGCTCACCACTCCGCCTGCTGCCCGGCGTCCTGCTCTGGGCACCGCCTCACCCGTCCCCTTTGACGGGGAGCTCAGTGTCCCCTGCAGAACGCCCACAGTCACGCCTGCAGCTGTTTGCATCTGCTCAGAAGCACGTTTTATGCCAAGTTCTATATCAAGTGCCTTGGTGGTTTCCATCCCCGGAGACGCAGGGCAGCTGGATGCTAGGGAGTCAGCCCCGGCCACGGCCGGAGCGGTCACATCGGCGACCTGATGCTAGAATGGACGGCGTCGTACATCTCTTCCCGGTGGGCAGGGAAGGGAGGCGACCAGTGCTGGTTAGTAAAGCACTTACGGGATGTGAAGGGTCCTGCTTCCAGACGAGGCAGGAGGACGTGCCTCTCCCTGGTTTGCGGAGGGTGCCTTGAGGCTTAGCTAAATCCCCAGGAGAGGCAGTCTTGGGGCTCTGGGCTATCCCGGGGAGAAGGCTGCACCTGTTTCCGCCCCAGACGTCCTACGGCACCAGGGAGCTCTTCTTCCTTTGGCTTTCGGAGACAGCCATGCCCCCGTTCTCCTAGATGTGCCAGAAGCTGGGGCCAAAGGGGGAAGAGCTCCGAAGCTCAGTGTCCCATTTCCCGTTCGCCTTAACAGTGTGGGGGGGACGGTGAAGTGCAGTGATGGGTAGAAGGTGCCTTGTGGAGGGCTGACCTGGAGACCCTCAGCATGCGGCCTCCTGCCTGTCCCCCTCTGCCCTCCTGCACCCCAACCCCTTCTCCTCACTAACAGCATCTGTTGACTGCTCGGCGGTCAACCAGATAGACCCCCGTTAGCATACTCAGCAGCTGCAGCCGCTGGCACGAGCCCCGTCCACGGCGTGGCACTGCGCCAGCCAGCGTCACTGTTTGTCTCAAGGTGACACTTGGAATGGATGACGCGGCGCTTCCTAATGCATTTACGTAATCCTTCCTGCTTTGCTGGCAGTTACTTCCAAGGCTTTAGCAGCAATAAAACGGTTCCTTTCCCAAGACACAGTTCAGTTGATTTAAATCTGGATTGATTATAGCTAAACTTAGGACACGTCTTTACAAAGGAAGGGAAAAACAGCAATACGTGATACACAGAAGTTATTCAGCATTTCTTCAGCTGCCCCCTTCCCGCACTCCCCCGGTGTCGCAGGCTCAGCATAGGGAAGCTGGTGGGGGCGGGGGGAGTTCCCTCCCCTTGAGAATCAAAGCCCAGTCGCTCCTATGGAAAGGCTCTCAGGGCAGGGCATCAACCCAACTGCTGTTAATTCCTTAGTCAGGGGGTCGTCTGCCCATATCGCCAGACCTTCCGCTGACTTCATGGTGTGAAGGGGACCCCTCATCCCCGTGAGCCTCCCTTGTTTTGGGTTTCCCTCCCCTGCGTTCTCCGGACAGCATCCCTAGCCTCTGGCTTCGACCCCAAAAGAGCACGCTCGCCGCTCCTCAGCCAGTTTGGGTTTAGGACTAAGACGCTCACAGGGGCTGGAGTGCAGAGGCAGCCTGGTGCTTGCTGTCTGCCTCGCCTTTGCGGGATTCCTCCCGGGCCCTGGAGGGTGTGGTCGGGAGGCATATACCCCAAGTGCATAGAGGATTAGCTGGCTTTTGCAGAACACTGAATGGAAACTGTGAAAACACAGTAATATAAATTTAACTCAAGGACATGCTGTGACTAGAATTTGAAAATTGGGGGTGTTGGTCTTAATTCACAGAAGTCCCAGTAACCATACCCCCTTGGCTATCACTGACCCAGAGTCACGACCAACAGAGAGAACCAGAGAAAGGCCTGGATTTTTTTTTTTTAACCATTTGACTTGAAAGGGGAAGATGGAGGAAAGATCAAAATGAATCACGAAGAATAATCCTAATCAGCATTGACTGCGTGCCAGGCACGCTTGAATCAGCCTTCGGTATTGCTGTGGAACAGGTAAAGTTCTGCTGTTGACATTTCCTAGATGAGGAAACAGAGGTTGGAAGCAGCTGGGTGCCTTTCCAGCTCTCGGGAGGGAGGCAGCCACGGCTTTGGGGCAGAGCCCAGCCCTTGCCCTCTCTGCTGCTGCCATCTAGGACCCAGGGCACAAATACCCCTCAATACCCACTCCCCAAAATGCCAGCTTCGTGGACATTTTGGTTGACTTTGGAGTCAAAATGAAATTAAAGCCTTTTCTTCTTCATACTTCCCTGTAAAATTGCATCACCAGGCAAGCATAATAGAGTAGTTGTCCCTAATGCATCCTTGATAGATTCAAATTATATTTAAATCATGGTTTAGAGTTCAGGTTTTATTGAGAATTGAGAGGCCATGTATTTTGTTGTTGTTGTTATTTTTAAGATAAAGGTAGTTATTTTAAATTGCTGAACATTTTATTTTCTTTCCTCGGAATTCTTTTTTTATATAAAAAAAAGTATAAGGAAATTGAACCAAGATAAAGGTTTAGCCATGTTTTTGAGTCTTTTGTTTTTTCTTTGCTGTTGTTATTTTTTCTTTTCAAGCAAATGAATACTTTTATTAACATGGTCTTTTTTTTCTTTCTAATACACATGGTATTAATATTTATTATATATAATTTATTAAATTATGATTTATTATTATTATTATTATTTTGAAGAGCAGATGGGATCAAAAGAGAATCAGATTTTCCATCTTGCATGTGAGGTTAATAAATGAGATCCCAAGGACAGGTTCAATGCCCTCATTAAGGTCATTCTCACAGCATCTTCCCACGCGCTTCCCAAAAACCCATGCTGGGAGCTTTTGCTTCGGGTCGGGTACCGGCTCACACCTGTGTGTGTTCCTTACAGTCGACCTGGACAGGCTCAATGACGACGTCAAGCGCTACAGCTGTACTCCCAGGAATTATTCCGTCAACTTAAGAGAGGAGCTGAAGCTGACGCATGTGGTCTTCTTTCCCCGCTGCCTCCTCGTGCAGCGCTGTGGGGGCAACTGTGGCTGTGGGACCGCGAACTGGAAATCCTGCACGTGCAGTTCTGGGAAGACTGTGAAAAAGTATCATGAGGTATGTCCTTCTCAAACACTCATGAGCTCTTTCCAGCTGGAAATGTTAGGGTAGGGTGCTGGATGACCAGGCCATGGGTTACAGTTGTTCTAGTTGTTCACTGCACAAAGGCAGCCAGCTGGAAGGATGATTGGGAGCTGAAATTACACATGAGATAAACTTACCAAGCCAAATGCCCTAGAGGGGCTAAGTACATCCTGAAAGATGGACTCTTTTCTCTATTCTTTTTTTTTTGTTTTAAAGATTTCATTTATTTATTCATTTCAGAGAAAGCAACAGCAGAGAGGTGGGGGGGAGGATCAAAGGGAGAGGTAGAAGCAGACTCCCTGCTGAGCGGGGTACCCCATGCCAGGCTTGATCCCAGGACCCCAAGATCATGAATGAGCCGAAGGCAGACACCTTACCGACCAAGCCACCCAGGTGCCCTTGGACTCTGTTTTCTAATCATCATAAAGCAACCTGTGGGACAACATCCTTGTTTGTTTATATGATCAAATGCGTGATGCGGTGATTCAGAGCTCACGTGACCTCTTTGTAGTAATATGGTGGCATTTGTAAAGGCTGTCATGGCAAAATTTAGGTCACTTTAAGAAAATTCTAAGGGCCAAACTTGAATGCAGTCAAGTCCTTAAGAAATTTAGGAGAGTGAAGACAGCAAAATGTAAATTGACAGATGTTTAGAGAGAGTTTTTAATTCTCTAAATAGGATATTATTTTTCTTCTAAAAGTACCATTTTTTCCTAAAGACTGCTGAGTGCTACCTGGGAAATCAGCTGTGAAAGTAGGCAAAACTAAGCAAAAGTAAATATGAAGATAAAAGAGGAACTAAAATTTAGGGAGAACAGAGTTCTGCAGAACCCCGTGTTCCTGCCTCTATGTTCCTATCACTAGTAACACTGCTTTTCCTTTTTGAACACATAGCACTTTATTGAGCATTAACGGATTCAAGGGGAGCTCAGAGCTGTCCCTGACCTTGGCAACAGCTGCTACTTCCCAATCGTGGGGGCATTTCCAAGTCACAAATATGGAGACTCAGTTTTCACATATGTGAAATGGGACTAAGACATTATAACAGATAATCACTTATAGAGTGGTTCTGGGGCTCAAATAAAATAGTGCATATGGAATGCCTTTTTTTTTTTTTTAAAGATTTTATTTATTTGACAGAGAGAGATCACAAGTAGGCACTCAAGAGGCAGGCAGAGAGAGAGGAGGAAGCAGGCTCCCTGCCTAGCAGAGAGCCCGATGCGGGACTCAATCCCAGGACCCTGAGATCATGACCTGAGCTGAAGGCAGAGGCTTAACCCACTGAGCCACCCAGGCAGCCCTGGAATGCCTTTTGTAAGATGTGAAACATCATACTGAAATGTGTTTAAGAACATAATCTAAACAATGAAGCAGACATTACCATTAGAAATGATTGCTTGCGTTGCTTTTCCTCTTGTATCCACCAAAACAAAGGAGCAAAGTGTGCCCACTAAATAAAACCTCCAGCTTTTAAAAGGTTTTTGTTTTTCTTTTTTTAATCCTGAAAACAGTAAGACAATACAAACAAGTTTAACTAGGTGACGGGAGCTAAATGAGAACGGAGACGTCATAACTGGCATTTCCAACTTGGGAAGTGTAGGATATTAAATGCCACAGGGACCAGGCTTACCTCACATGGGAGAAACACATTATTTTAGACTTCCATAGAGCTTATTTTCTTAGTCATAAGAATTCCTTACTCCACCCTGCAGTTTTCAAGGGCAAGGGGAACAAAAAAAAATTCTCCTGAGTTCATTGTGTTTTATTTTTGTATGACCTGATGAACTCTAGATAGGATGTTGTCCTTTGCATCTAAGAACCTGAATTTTGTAATGTTTAGTCAGACCCTGAGGATCAGTGCCGAATGCAGTAATGAGGCTAGAATTAAAATAATCTAGCAAGTGACAAGATCACTACCTAGGCATAAATGCGGAGGAAAAACAGTTAAGTACAGGCCTTTGATCTATCTGTAGAGTGCTTTATTTTTCTCTGGACTCCACTGTTTGAAGTTCCAGCTTCATTTTTTATATTGTTTATTGCAGAAATGGAAGAGTTGAACGTGCACACCACCCCTCTAAAAAAAAAAAAACAAAAAACCTCACATTCCAGACAGTGAATGCTAAAGAACTCTGAAGGGTCCTTTTCTTGCTTCTTTTCTTGTCTCTGTCTGCCCACCCGAGCGGTTACCTGTAAATTCCTGTTCACAATTAATATCTAGAAAGGGAAGCCCTTGATCTCTGCTCATCACAGGAGCAGGTCTGAGATGCCAGCATCTTTTTGAAGCTGCTCTCTGAAGCAGCTCTTTGAAACACTGTAGCGTAGTATTTTTACTTCTGGGGTCTGCAGAGCTCTGCACAAAGTCACTCTGCCAGGCTCTGGACAAAGGGACAAAACAACATCGATCACCCTCTCAGCCGCCGCATACCTGACACAAACATGTCTGGCTCCTTGACCCCCGGCTCCTAAAATACCTTGCAACCTGTCACAGTGACCCCTCTGCTGAGTGCCCCGGGGAAAGAGTAGAGACTTGTTCCCTTTCCAGAAGTGGGGGTGGCTTGAGCCTGGCTCGTTAGGGGAAAATCCTGGTTCTTTTTTCTATTCTGTATCTGTGCTCTAACCCAGAGACACGAAAAATCAGTTTCCCCAGCTGCTGCTTGTAACTGATGAGATGTGAAATGAGTTTCCATGGGCCGTGAGCACCCTTAAGGGGTAACTGGAACTTGTCACATAAGCAGGCCTGTGTGACTCTGCACAAGTATTTCAGCACTCGGCGTTTAAGGCATGAAATGGGAAAAATTATAAAGCTCCTAATGAAGCTTAGATAATTGTTCTTTTCTTGGGTCATGCTGTTTCCCAAGCAGGGGGTTGAGCGGGTCCCCCCACCACCACCGATGAGATATAGTGTTACCTTCTTTATGATTTCCTGTTCTCCAAACCTTGTAGGTATCCTTTAAGACATTTTCCCTGTTTGCTAATAATAGTTCTTTGCAGCCTCTTGGAATGCATAGGATACAAAAATTACTTTGGGGTAGTGAGTTTTCAGAAGGAAGTTTCCAGAGAACATACCGTGTAGATGCTGTTATTTCAGGTCCCATCTTGCCTTGATAATGTGCCATGAAGGAGCAGGATCTTCCCCAGAAATAAGGTTACCTTAGCGGTTTGTCATCCTCTGGTTCCCAATCTATGGACATTCAGGCAACAGCCAAAATTCACGAAGCAGCAGAGAGAGAGAGAGATCCGAGTTAATTTCTCTGTCCCTCCTCTCGTGATTTTGTCGCAATGCTGCTGTTAACTGGCCATCGTGTCGAGTAGAACTTTCTACAGTGAAGGGAGCATTCCCTACCTGCCCCTCCCAGTACGGCAGTCGCCAGTGACGTGTGGCTAGCTGGCACTTGATGAGGACCCGACACAAACAGGAGATCGGACTTTGAATTCTATGTGATTTTAACTTATGTAAATGTAGATAGCTACACATGGCTGGGGGTTGCCATATTGAAAAACACAGCCTAGACCCATCTCTGTTTCTGGACCAAGTGGAAAAAAATAATGACTTAAAAGATTCTTTTTATTTTGCTCTAGAATTTTATATTAAAAATCTGCTTCCTATTAACATCTTAAGAGTCAGGACGTGTAAGCACATGTTTATATATGAAAAAAGATTAATTAGAGGTTTTAAACTGTTGAGCTTCAGACTTGGGATAAAATAATCATACTTTTAGGTTTTTACATGTTTTAAGCATCTGGTATAGAAACAAATTTAGCTAAAATGGGAAATTGAGATCAAGGAGACAGGAAACAAAATGAGTTTGTGAAGAGTTTCTACTCTGTGGCAAAAGCAATGAGATTTGGAGTTGTGATTCTAACCAACCGTAACAAAAGTCAAGAAAACTTGGTTCCTTTCTCTGGAAATAGCATTTCTAGAGTAAGGAGAGTCTCCCTGCTTCATCTTCTTTCTGTCTCTTTGGGTGAGACTGTGAGACCACGCTCCCGGGGGCTTTTCCTGTGTTTAAAATGAGACGGGGCAATAGAGCACAACACTGTCTGACTGGAAGGAAGATGTGGCCCTGGCTCCAGCTTTGCCGTGTGGAAGGCAGCCTAGGGGCCTAGGAGTTCTTCAGCTCATCCCCACAATAACCCCCAATTTGGGGTTCCCAGGCGGACTTGAAATGACACGGCATCCATTAGCCGTTACACCATCCTACCCCCAAATCCTACCTTTCTTTACACAAGGTATAGAAGCAAATTGGAGGTGGCAGTGCTGGGTCAACGTAAAGGAGTAAGGATAGGATCGGACAATCAGCAGTTAATGTTGATGGAAAAATTCACTCGCGTATCAGTGATAACAGTGACACTTGGCTCATGGGGCTACTGGACAGATGTGAGGGTAGAAGACTGGAAAGTCCAGAAGAGATGTGGGTGGAGTTTTCTGAGAGGTCTGGCTTCCCTGCAGCCTCGATGGCTCCCCGAGTGAATGGATCCTGCATTTCAGTACAGCCGAATGTGCACGTTCCTTCCCTTGTAGATCTAGCTTCCTGCCATCGCTTCGCACACCTGCCTTGGGCCGTGCTCCCCCTCAGGTAGACAAGACCATCTGTGACATGGATGGTCGTCCACGCCAATTCTGCACTCTGAATGTGGTGCCCAGTCAGCCGTCCATTACATTTTCCGCAGTGGATAGACATGAGCCCTGTAAGCTGCTGTCGAAATTAGGGAACTGCTTCACTCTTTCAAGGCTGGACTGTAGCTGAGTGCACCCTCACAGTAGCCCCCGTGTGCTCCCAGAAAACGTAACGTCTACAGAGAGCAAGATTGGATTTTCAGTATTCATGAGCGTTTTATGGACCCTGACGACAACCCCGGCCTTTGGTCACCTGCAGACTTCATCAGCCAGGGAATCATTCCTAAACTCTGTCGTCGGTGTCTTTCTTACTGAGTACCCTATCTTACCACATGCAGTCAGTCCTTCTGCTGCGAGGCTCCGGGTCTGCTGGGACTGCTGCCCGCAAGCTCGGTAATTATCCGGCAGAAAATAATGTGTTATCCCTTCTCGAGATGTTTTCGTTCATAATCACTTAGGTTTCAGAAAAATGGTCTAGCAGCCCTTAAAAATCTAAACTCTCTGGACATTTTTCATGAAGTCTAGAAGCATGGAAAAGCTCAAAAGGGAAGCAAAAATAGGAAGCTTTTTTTTAAAGATCAGAAGCTATGTATATGGAGTACAGCCTGCTTTAGAAGTTGGGAAGAATCTTAAATAAACTCTTAATGGTTCCAGCTCATACAGTGCATTTGTCCTGAAATATGTGTTTGTGTTCCTATGTCAGCCATTAATCTGAGAACTATTAAAGGCATTAACCTTTTTTTTTTATATTCCCAATAAAGAAGAACCCAACTCAGCAGATAGCTTTTCTGCCTAGTCTTGTTTTATTAGTGCAATAGCTTTATGGCAATGATTCATTCAGTGGTTTATTGGCAACGAGGCGAGTAAATGAAGCGAAAAATCTTTCGTGATGTGGTAATTTGCAGATTGAGCATCTTTGACTTTGTGTAGCGTTGCGCAAGCCACCACCCGGCTTAGTCCTTCTCCAGTTAGCCCAAGTCAACTTTGTCTGGACTCATGTGGTTCTCTGGGTGGTGGAGAGGGCTCAGGGTTTCCACCCACAGGTAGTAATTGGCTCGGGTCGTCAGTGGGTTTTTATTTTGGGGTGCGCTCGCAGCTGTGAGCCCTAGCTCAGAAAATAGGAAGGCATTTTGGGATGGTCTTATTATTATGTGTCCTTCGGTGGCTGAAATTAATTCAGTGGTTCCTTCCTTCCCTTTAAAAGTGAGCAGATAACCTATAACCAGCCAGTTTGCCTTCCCAGATAAAAGCTTTTCATTTCTCTCTTAACTTTCCATGCTCTCTCAAGTCAGTTCTGCTTTCTTCCTCCTCTCGGTGCGGCGTACCTGAACCTCAGACTATTACATGGTCTGAGAGCTTTGAACATCAGCGCTGCGATCAGCTGGGAAAGCAGTCCGATTTCCGCTTCGTTCAAGCAGTGCTTTCCCGTCTTGTCTGGGAGAGTGTCTGCCAATTCGTTTTTTTCTCTTCTTATCAGCAAAACTCAAACATACCACGCTCACGTTGCTTCATATAAAATACAGGGAAAATCCCTGAACCATCAGGAGACGGGTTAGAAGAACCACCTGGGCTCTGTGCTCACGCCATCGCCAGGCTCTTCTGTTGGCCGTCAAATGAGAAGGCAAAGAGCCCCGGGAGGCCAGGGGCCGGTCATCACTGCTCATTAGGCTCTCGTGACAGTCATGCTCTTCAGACACTCACATCTTGGGACTCATTTCCCTCCCCTCCATCTGCAGACCCCCCGTCTGGTTAACGTAGAGTCTTGGACAATAGCGACTAATGCACATCAGACGGAGAAGTTCTCGGCAGAGCTGTGGGGCTCAAGCCTGTAACGCCTTCCAAGCGCGCCCCCCGGGCAGAGCTCAGCTGCACTTCTGGGCCATCACGGGCGAGGCTGTTCGGTGCCCAAAATGTCAGACATTCTGCAACCACTGTTGCTGGGTGGGTATTTTTTTGGGGGGGGAGTGTCTTTTTGTTTTTTTTGTTTGTTCGTTTGTTTGTTTTTTAAATGAAGAAGCAACATCTCTTTGTTTCCCCTCGAGTTCCCAGCAGGCGAGCACCCAGCGGCCACACACGGAAGGCACATACCACTGTGGTTCTGCTCTTGGTACTTCAAATTTTCCAAAACTGTGGAAGCATTACAAGGCGCCCAAAGCGTGGGGCCCTGTTTTTGGCCCCTGCTTTATCTCCTGGCTGGTGCATCTGTCCCCCGGGTTTGTTGGAGGTGCAGGGAGGGAGGTGACGAGAGGAGATGCGGCGGGGGGGCGGTGAACAGGAGAGAGCAGGAGTGTTCACGGCTCCGATGGCACCGCCCCCAGCCCGGGGGTGCTGCTTCAGCCGCTGCTCTGTGCGCAGCATGCTCGCGAGCCGTCCACACGTAAGTTCCCGTGGCATAGGCGAGCTCAGCTACGTGGGGTCAAGTCCCAGTGCCAGCTCCGTAACGGTGGGCAAGTAGCTTAACCTCTCTCTTTCCTCACGTATGAAAATTAGAAAAGTACTAATATGTTGCAGGGAAATCCAAATAATATTTGCAAAAAAGCCCCTTAGGACAGCGTGTGGCATCAGTACCGTGAGTCGTTTCCGCTGTTCTCAAAGCGCTTTGATCCAAACTAGGACACAAAATAAATCGGGTGGAATTGGTGACACAGACCATCAGAGTAGTCGAATCGCAGGAGGGAAAGAGAACAACAGAATTAGCTCGGAGAACGGCCATTTGGACTAAGTTTACCAACAGCAGATAGTTTGGAGTGTCTGTGCCTCTGGCAGGGCTCTCGTCGGGTACCCCCACCCCCGTGCGCTCACGAGCATCCGTCGGGAGCTCTGCTGCAGGTGGGAATCCGTGTCCCGCTCTGTATTCGCCGAGTGCAGACTCCGTAGCTTGATCGAACGAACATGGAAGAAACGAGCTGATCTGTTCTCCTCCTCCCTGGGGCCCCCATGGCCCAGCCTGGCTTCGTACGGGGGGATAAGCGATGAGGACTCTGCACCCGCGTTTCCTAGTCGAGGGTTTGGGTCTGTTCATGGCTCCAAGCAGGTAATGACGTGAGGACGAGCAAACGGCTGGGAAGGAATTCCTGGTCAAGAAGCAGAGGAGTACCATGAAATGTCCCACAGAGTCCAAAGCAAGATTTTGCCACACGTAGCCTTCACCTGGGACCAGCATATGCCAGGTGCGTCCCCGCTCTGGCTCCCATGTGGAGCCTGACAGCCCTTGGAGACACAAGGAAATCACAGGCACATCAAAGGGCATGGGTGCCAGGGTGCTAGGACCCTAGCGGACAGCCCAGGGCACAAGTCGCAGTGGCCGGAAGACCCCGCACAAGGCGCGTGGCCTCCTTGAGGATCTCGGTCCCCCCGTCTATAAAACGGGGATAAGGACCCGTCCACTACTACGTGACAAGGTTTGTCGGAGGGGAGAAGAAATAATGTGTCTGTGCTCATCCTTGGAAAACTATAACATACAATATCGTTGTATGGTAGCCCCTGCTGGAGTTCAGAGTCTGAAAGGAAAATGGGGAAAAAAAATCTGAACTGACGGTGGACAGGAGTCTGAGAGCATATAGAGGAGAAGCGGACTGACGAGATCGTGTCGGTGGGAGCGCGTGTATGGTTTCCACAGCATCGTGTCTGAGACGAGTAACATTTGATTTCGGCGAAGGCCTTTGCAGAGAAGAAGTTAGCTTCCATGTAAATATACTAAAAGTATGTTTCAACTTAGATTTTTTTAAGTTTTTATTTAAATTCCAGTGTGTTAACATACCACGTGATACTAGTTTCTGGTGTACAACACAGTGATTCAACACTTCCTTCCCCACCCGGAGCTCATCACGGCAGGTGCCCTCCTTCAGCCCCGTCCTGTTCCCCTGTCCCCCACCCGCCTCCCCTCTGGTGTCCAGCAGTGTCATCTCCGTAGCTCAGTCTGTTTCTTGGTTTGCCTCTTTCTCTCTTTTTCCCCCACTTTGCTCATCTGTTTATTTGCACATTTGAGTGCAATCATTTGGTATTTGTCTTTCTCTAACTTACTTCCCTTAGCATGATGCTCTCCAGCCCCACGTAATTCCAATCAACTTATTAACTTAAAAGATTAAGGATATACTTTATGAAGAAACACTGTATCAATACAGTATTGAGGTAGAAAAATTCTAGTGGAGCCTGGTCTGTTTTAAATTGCAAAAGGTATTGCATTTTGACAAATGGATAAGGACATATACCCATTTTCAAGTAATTATGGCCACTACGCACCTTCATCAGGCATTATGTCAGGGCATTACATCAAACATTTAGCCACACTGGCGTATTCACGTTCATGACACTATCCGTTATTCTGTTTCCAGAAATAATCAATACTCGGTATTGTATTTATCTGTATTTAATTGTATTGTAACATATGCTCTATTCAAAGAATATTTATAACAGTGTTTGGAGCAGCACTTGGCACAAAACGGGCCCTTGGAAAGCTGTCGTAAGTGCCCACCGGGACCCCGGAGCTCATCCTGGCGCCGCCCGTGGGTGATGCTGGTGGCGTTACCCTGTGATCCGGTGACCATGCTGCCCGCGTCGGGAAGTTGACAGTTGTAAAAATATTAACGTGAGGGCGTCATCATCGCAAGCCCATAGTTCTTATTGGCTTCTCAAAGGGTTGGGAGCCAGTTGTCATAAAGAGCAGAAGGGGCATCTCGTTGTGCTAAACCCTCCAGGCTTTCTAACAGGCACTGTGCTTCTGGTCCTAGGTGTTGAAGTTCGAGCCGGGCCATTTCAAGAGGAGGGGCAGAGCAAAGCACATGGCTCTCGTCGACATCCAGCTGGACCATCACGAGCGCTGCGACTGTGTCTGCAGCTCAAGACCGCCTCGATAAAGGGGTGTGCACACACTTACCCTGAGCACGAATGAATCCGTAGTTTGACGGGGGTGTGGCGAGAGACCCTTTTCCTCCCAGCCACCGAACTTAACTACTAGCCTGCAAAGCAATGAATACAAGTGGTTGCTGAGTTTCAACCCAGCTTGGTTAGCCGTGGCAAGTAGCAAGGTATATCGTCAACGTCTATAGCCCAGAATATAGGATTGCAGCCAATAATAGTGTCAGAGAATCCGTACACATACATACACATACGGTCATACTCTTCACGTCTCTGTGTCAATACATCAAACGGTTTATTCCGCGTCTACAACGAGGTCCACCAGAGCTGAAGCATGGTGGCGTCATTTAGACCCTTAAAAATCTTTTGACAAATTCAGGGACATATTAAATACAGGAAACGTGACCTTGGAAGATTCAGAAGATTATTTAGGTTATTTTAAAATTTGAATCACAAAACCATCTTGGAGCTTGCTCTTTTAAAGAAAGCACCTTGTATATTAAAAACCAATAAATGAGCTTTTGTTATATATACATCTTAACTATAAAGAAAAAAAAGGAAAACTATGGATTCTGGGACAGAGGCACCGACCTAACCATGTTTCCCATGGGACACACTACGTGCTTCCTAGGTAGACAATACTTGCCCGTCTCCAGAAGCATGCCATAATAATACAGATGCTTTAGAAAGTGAGTCATTGAGTCTTTTTGTGCATCTTGCTGAGGCATGCAAATTCATTGAACACCTGTCTCCAAAAAATTTCTCAGAAGGTTTATTATTATAATCCTCCCAGAGACAGTTTATTAACTGTAGCAGAAATCTGAATTGTTTCCTTCTGGAAAACACCTCCACAGAAATAACTCCTTTGGAAAACGGCATGGGGACGCTGTATGACCCTTCCCAACTAGTGTTCGTTGAAAGACTTGGGTAGTTGAAAGTAAGAACAGTGAACATAGAGACAGTAATGGAACTGGAAATCGGATAGAGTATTTGATTGGGTCCTTAATAATAATGGATCCAAACCTCTCCAAACTATGCCAGTCCATTTTATGTCTCTTGCGTTCATGCTCCCGTCTCTCTGATACACAAACGTGGATTTATAACGGCATTTAAATTTGGCAAACATCCTGAATTATTTATAGCCTAAAAGCTTTCCTGTATTAAAACCACCCGGTTTTATTGATGTAACTTCCTAATCGTACCCTCACTCACCATTCTGAATTCCTTTTTCTGAGCTAAGTGGAATCAGGTCTGGAGTCTGTGGTTCTCTCCAGATCTGCGGAGCTCATTCTTAGAAGGCTGTCCTGCAAGTTACAGGGACACAAATTTGGCCTTGCTCCACCGCTAGAAACCTTGAGTTCGGATCGGCGGTCTTCTCATTTTTCCCTCCCAGGCTCCCCAATGTCTATTAGAAAGGAGACTGAGTCCCGGAGTAGGAAGCAATTCATCATTCTCCAGGCTCAAGACAGAGAGAAACACTGAAATCCGGAGAGCCCCAGGGCCACTCGGAGAGAGTCCCACTTTTCTTGCTGCCTGGAAACAAAAAAAGGAGAGCCGACTTCTCCCGTGAGTCTAGGGCCCTAGTGACCAGGACCGGTTTGAGTGAGGGGTGTGTGACGTGGGCTGCGCCAGCCCAGTGCTCAGGCGCGGGGTCGAAATACACCTGGACTTCAAAGCATGGACCACCTTCCCCACCGTCCTCACTCGTAGCCTCCTTCCCTCTCAGCTCTAGGAGACGAAGGCCATTGCTTATTGACGATGTGAAAGTGCTCCAGAAGCACCCAGTGTTCTCGCCGCGGAGGGGTGAGGGCGAGAATCCCTGCCTTCTTTAGTTGCCCAGAATCCCAGAGCACAGTCAGAAATGTCCCAAGCAGACACCCTCCCGGTCAGGGACCTGCTGGTCCCCTTCACGGCCACGTGGAAGTTCACCGTGAAAACATCAGCTTGGGTGCCCAGATCAAATGTGTGTCCCCGACTGTGGCCTGTGCCGCTCACGCCGTCGTGGAAGTGTGAAAGATGAGAGTGTTCTCCCCGGTTTTCAATAAACCTTCCAGGCTGCAATAACTGGGATGGTTTTCGGTTAAAGCCCTATCTGTGCTCTTTATTTATTAGCTGAAATGAAAGCAGGCATATTCGCTCACTTTCCTTTCTTCTTTCCTGAGTGTTTTATTAAAACGTCTCCCTTGGTTATCTGTTATCTGTTGCACTTGCAACGTGTAGCCAATAAATCTGTTCCATTGCCATCCGAGGAATAGAAAAGCTCGCCATACAAATTACATTTCAAAACAAACCCTAATAAATCCGCATTTCTGCATGGCTCGCTCACCTGGAATAATGCCTTTCATTCACTACGTTCTTATGGGGCAGAACACTTTCATAAGCAGGATTGGTTGTGTTTTGTCATATCGGCAACACGCACTTTTTTCCTCTTGCCGCATTCTTCTATAGCAAATGTAATATGGCTCTTATCTTCGTGAAAAATGTATGTTGCTTTTGAACAAAACTACTCCGTTATTTAGTCCCCAACGGCACTTTTGAAAGGAGTACAGTGTTACGACCTTACTTTCACCAACGCATGCAAGTCTCGGGGTGACGGGATGGGGTGACATCTGTGGGCTTCATTTTGGGAAGTAGGAAGGGCGCGAACCTTGTCCCCTAACAGCAGGTTTTGGCTCCGTCCCTGTGCCGAGGCTGGGCAACTGGACGGGGTTTGAGTTTTGCTGTTCTGCTGTGCCGTTGTGCCTCTCGGACTGTTTGTTTCCCCACCGGCCTTTTAATAAAACGGAGTCGCATCTGACATCCCTCCCTGAAGACAGTTCACAGCCTGTCTCTTCCTTGGGGGCCTGACATCAGTACCATTGGGACTCATTTCCCTTTTGTCTGCCCTGGAAGCTTTTCCCCTCTGGAGGGGCAACCCAGCCGGGGAGGGGTGCTCCTGGCTCAGGGAGACCAGTGAGGGGTTGTGAGCCTAAGGACTTTGATTATGATCAGGGGGTGGGGAAGCGGGGATAAAGGGCAAAGCCAGCTCTGCTCAGACGAGAACTTGAGCCTCTCCTCGCAGCTTAGTCCTGCGGAGGCAGCCGCTGCTCCGAGCTGGGTGAAACTTGGCCACTTCATTTAGCTGAGTGGCTTCAGGTTGCTCGGGGAAAGGCAGTGGAGACGTGTTTTCTGTGCCAAGAATCAATTTTCCCATCGGAAATACCAGCTAATGTGTGAGACAAAGTGTGGGGAGGGCCAGGAAGAAATCCAATAATGCTATGCATAGTAGTTAATTTAGAGAACTTGGATTTTTATATAAAAATCATGCTAGCTGTAGATCATGATTCTTACATAAAAATCCAAGTTATCAGACTATATATACACATGCATGGTTATCTGAAATGCTTATACATATATATATGCAGTATCTTAATGCAGAAACCTGAATCATCTTATGTTGTTTCCTGAAGTATACATGTGTCCAGTTTTACTCTAAGAATAACTTAACAGACATCCAAATTGTTCATATCTTCCCGGGGTCCTCCGGTAGAATATTAAATCAAAATTCATAGATTAGTGTTCATGCCTGAACTCCCAGGAAATACGGTTTTGTTTATTGACAGCTCTGATCAAATATGCTGGAAGAGAGAATATTTATAATTCACTGGTTTTTATTGACATCCACTTAAATTGTGTTGTTTTTGAAGATCAAGTTAAGACATGCAGCCCTGGGTGGGGGTGGGGGGTGTCTCCTCAGTGGCAGGGGAGGCATCACCAGTGGGAATGGAGGAGCCACTAACCGCTTCATTTAAGACCTCATGCTTGCCGTCCAGGTTATCGTCCTCAATTATAAGTTAACTTGTATTTTTTTTTTATATAAAGCTCATTTCTATAGAGATCTGTAAAAATTCTTTAGCAGACCACATTAGAAGAGAGTGGGGCTGAATCGGGCCAAGAAATCTTCATTTTCCAATAAGACCATTTGAATTTCTAATTATTTTAAACTGTTGGATATGGGCTGCTGGGTTCAGTGGCCAGGAACCAAACGTTGAAATTACTCTTGGATTCAATTTCTATTTTACATAATTCCTATAATATAGATTCTCTTTTAAGAACACATTCTGGGTCATGTTCTCTTACCTCCACGTCTCTGGTTGAGGTCATATTACAAATTCATTCTCTTCTGATAGCTTCTGGCCTTTCCTTTCTCCCTCTGAGCCCTACCTTCCTTCCCTTTCTCATCAGGCTCTACCCACCAATCTTTGGGTCAGGGAGAATCAGGATCAGTGTCTGCTTTGGGAAGGCACAGGAGGTGGGGGCCATTCAAGGAGACCAGGAGAGCAAATGGTTTCCCAAGTGAGTATGTCACAGGCTTAGAACGCCAACTGTCAAAAAAATCCCTACTTTTTGAGAGTTGAACACAACAAGCGAATGTTTGCTGTTATTGTCCATTTTGGTACAAACTTCAGAATATGGTGGTGGATGTTTCCTGACTTCTATCAAAGGATATCTAGCCACCATCAATATGGGGAAAACTGACTAAATTAAATGTTTCATTAGTTCATTGAACAACAAAATGTATTAAAACACACTATGTATCAGGATTGCTTTGGGGTCAACACACAAGGTCCACAAGAGAGGACAAAAGTAGCGATAGATATTCTAGGGGCATAAACAAGAAGAACAAAGGTCTTCCGGCAAAAACGCAAAAGGTAAATGTAGGCCTTTCAAAGAATAAAAAGTAACGTGGCAGGAAAGAACCACGATGGGTGGTAACTTTGATAAGGCAGAAAAGCAGCTGGTCACACAAAGTCTTGTGTGGATGGCTAGCAAAGTTTTGTCCTTTATGTGGAGCTCTTAAGCCCAGTGGGGCTGCAAGTGTCACACTGTGTTGGAACATTAGAAGGTCTTGGGTTCAGTGAACCCGCTGGCCGCTTTCTGGACCTGTTTCCTCGTTTACAAAATCAGAAGGCTGAGATAGAGCCTTTCCAGCAGAACAGTTCTGCATTTTGGAAAATGGCAGCCTGCAGGAAGGATGGGGCTAGGAATACGAAATATAAAGCTCCTCGGAGTTCTCCAGATGAGGCGTCAGAGACAGGAGGGGTGCAGGCCCCCTCTGGTTGTGCGGGCTCTGCACTGCAAGTTCTGGAAGGTGCTGTCTGCATGGACTGGGGCTGCGAGGAAAGTTCACAGGGGAGTTCAGGGGTCTTACTGACTCAGTGTGGAGAGCAGTGCAGGCTCAGGGCATGTCCTAGAGGAAGAAGTCCTGTGAGTTGGACTGTTGAGAATGTTCTCCCCGGAACACTAGGCAGGCAGGAAGGAGAGGCTGATTTTGAGAGAGGAGATCACAACTGTCTTAAGAGCCAGGCCTGTGACATTGACCGGAGTCACGCTTAGAGCCACGAAGCAGAACCCAAGAGAAGGATGGTAAATAACAGAAGCTAAAGGACCACAGAGAAGAGGGGAAGGAGGACTTCACAGGCTCACAAGTAAGGGTTCCGAGGTGGGGTGAATACATGGCTGGTTACGTGTCCAGAACTCTGCCAGACACCACAGATTTGAAGAACGAGAAAATAACCATGCTTTCTGCCCTTATCAAACTAGGGAAGGGATGGTACATATTACATAAATAATTCATTGTATTTGTGAGAAGGAAAAGGATGAGGTGAGAAGACATTAAAAAGTAGAATTTCCCTCAGCAGCAGAAAGGGATTCCTGAAGCATTGGTCATTTCCTGGAGACCCTGGAGCAGGAACAGAGATTTGAATAAATGTTAGGCAGCAGGAAAGCCGAAGGAGACTGTGGTATTAGAAATGAAAATAAAATTGTGACTCAATTAGAGAAGTATTTTGAATTTTTAATTGACCACAGATGATATATGGATTGGGTGTCGGGAAGCGAGTGGAGGAGGGTGTCAAGGGTTTTTCTAGGGTTTCTGGCAAAACAAACTGGGCAGACAGAGAAGCCATTTGTTGAGACGGGGGCCCGGGAAGAAGAGGAGATTTGTGGTAAATCAAGAGCTTGGTATGAGAGATTTGTGCCCAATGGTCTTTGACACACCCACTCGGAGATACTAGGTGGACAGGTCTGGCCTGGCACTCAGGAAGGGTCTAGGAGTGAGATGTAAGCTTGGGAGCCATCATCACATAGTGACTGAAAGTCACAGGAATGGTCAAGTCCCTTGGAGGAGAGGGAAGACCAAGGAGGAGAAGGATGACAGGACAATCGCAAGGGTGCCGGAGGAAGCAGTGGGTCCATGGGGGCTGGGCCTGTCTTATCAAGTTTGGCAAAGAAGATGGAGCAGACGTGCCCAGAAACACCCTTCCCAACACCCCCCCTCACAGACCTTTTCGGGGAAAAGCGGCTTGATCGATGGTGGCACTGTGCACGGGAACTTGGTGCCATGATGCCCAGCCCTCTCCTGGAGCCACGAGCTGTGTGTGCCTGTTGAGCCCCCGGAATGCGGCTTCAGGCTGAAGACGTCTTCCTCGCACTACCTTAAACTGACTCACATTCAAGTGTGAACGGCCACACGGGAGTACTGGCTGCCCCTCAGAGCAGCTCTGGATGTGAGGCGTTTCCCACAGACTTGCGGCCGCAGTCACACTTCACAGAACCACACACACACACACGCACGCACATCTCGGCTGGATATCCAGGGTAGCGGCACCTGACCCAGCCCAGGACCTACCTTTCTCACGACATATGGAGCTGGGAAGAGATTCAGATGGTCTCTCTGATTATTGGCATGGTAAGACGTAAACATCGATGGCTGTGGCACCACACTCCTTCCACATGGACCAGAAAGCCCAGGGAAGGCCCAGCCACAAAGGAAGGGGAGGAATGACACCTGTATGGGGAAGTAGTGGGGAGTCCAGAGGGAGTCCCCCACTCCGTGCCCCTGGGTCCTGAGGTCTGGCCACATTCCACTCCTGGTTCTCCCAGAATGTCGCTGGTGAGGTGTGAATCAGAGGGTCACATGCTGTGTACGGAAGAACTGTGCTGAAATTGAGGTTTTGAGTGAAAACCACTTGCTGGAGAAGCTGATCAGGGAGCGGAAAGAGAGACGGTCGATCCCTATTCCTCGTGGTGGTGAGGTGCTCTAATGGTGCCCCAGACACCGAGTTAGTGAGCCCCGAGTCACCCTTCCAGCGGGAGGAGACACGTGGTTAGGTTTTGGAAGCATCTGGTCGCAATACTTTCATCAAGTGATAGACACATGACCTTGTCTCCTGTGTGTCTCTGCTTCAGGGGGTCTTATTTAATACGTGCTATTGATTAACATTGAACTCACTGACAAAGCACTATAACCCTTGCCTTACCTAATGCACACATGTTCACCATAAGGCACGTCCCAGCCTTCTCACCCTTAGGAGAACCACACAGCACAGTAGTGCCAGGCCTGGGAGCCATTTCAA